GGGCGGAGCGGTGGCGATACCGATGCCGTGGGGCGCGGATGCGCGGGGCTCAAGGTGCGGAGCGGGGAGAGAAACCCCGTGCGAGGCGTGAGGAGCAGCGAGGGAGCGGGGAGCAGCCCCGCGGGCTGATGCCTTGGGCAACGGCCGAGTGAAGGCGGTTGTGGATCCCGAGTTTCCTGACTAATTTTGCCAGGCAGTGAGAATTAGTGGCCTAAAGCTATGTAGAAATGCCCCGGAAACTTTTGGCTAAATGGTGGTTATGCTTGAAAGCTTACCTTTTGAGTCGTTGTTTGTTGCTAGCTTAAAATTGCCCAGAGTAAAAAGCTGAGAATAAACTTTACAAACCGGTTGTAATCGGAATCGGTTAGTCTGGCTTTAACTCTTAAAACGGTGCCAGTCAAAACAAACAGTAGTTTGTTGTTGGTGGTGGTCTCTTTTGTTTTTTTTTTTAATGTTGTGTAAGCTGCGTTGAAAAGTAACTCGTCGCTCGTATTCTACTGTTAAAGGTGTAGTTTGAAGGATTCTTGGATGTCTCCTTTAGGGTGGTGAGATGAACACTGAAGTGAGTCCTTTAGGTCCAAACTTCCAGCCTTCCGCTGCAACAGTCGGTTTCATTCTGTCTTGTGTATCTCCATCTACTGGTGGGAAGAGAGTCCTTGGAATACTCACAGCTTCGTGTTAGGCAGCTGTAAACTCTGTGGAGATATAACCATCATTTTAGTCTCTTGATACCATAGAGGGGATGGCTTTTCCTTTGTGAAAAGGAAAGCATACATTTCCTGCAAGAATTCAAGAAACAAAAGCGTGGAGTGTCTGCTGCTTTCAGTAGTATATTCAGCTGAACGGTACTAATTGTGTAACTCTCCAGATAAATGTCCTGGTTATCAGGAAAACAGTATTAAATGGTATAGATGAAATTATTTTTGACTTGTAAGGTTGCCTATTATATATTTTTACTTTTTATATATATATGTATTTTCATTTTTTAATTTTTTTTTTGCAAAAGCAGGTGCAGCCATGCAAGAAAGCATACATTTTGCTTCATCAGGAGATGACGTTAAAATATGGGATTCCTCATCTCTAACTGTGGTGGAGCAGTTCAACCCACATACACCCCCACATCCAGTCAGCTCACTATGTTGGGCCAGCAATAGTATCCTTTACAGTTTCAGCCATAGTTTTGTGGGTGTTCTGCAAAATTGCGGTGAATTTTTTTTATTAAAGTGTCTGTAAATCACAGGCCTGATGCAGTTTTGAAGTCTTGCATAAAAAGATTTGTATATATTATGAAGAAAACTTTGTGGTTCTCTGTGTTAGCGTGATTTACAGAATAAACTCACACTGGTAAATGCTTCTGAAAAAGTTTCTCTTCCTTTAGGAGGCTAACACTTTTTTAATGATTATGATATGCTTGAATTGCCTACCAACTGTAAAGCTTACTCATTTGTTTCTTCAATAGTTGATTACAATATTCACTTTCAAGGCAGTGCTTAATTTACTGATAAGGTTGAACAAAGCAATTGCTAGGGTAGTAAAATTCTATACGTAGTGTAGAGAGGGAAATTGTAATGAAAGATTTTTTTGTGTGGTTTTTTTTCCTTGAACAGCTTCTCTTTGATAGCGTACACTACTTCTTACTCTGTAGGCACTGCTTTTCCTTGCGCTATTTGTAGCATTTACAGAGGAAGCACAAATGTGTTGGATGTTTAGGAAAACTTCCATAGGATGGTGGTGATTTATGCATGAAAATGGATCTGGCCCATTTAGACCTTTCACCTCTGATTTGGAAGCCTATTATAGGATAATGATATGAGGTGCCAGGTGTTAGGTGAATATATGAGAAATTGCATGAAAACAGTGCACTGTCAGGTGAACAGCTTGTATGGCTGTCACGGGAAAAGGTGGCAGTGTCTGATCTTGATGTAAAAGAAGGACACGCAACAATGAAGTCCTGCAAGTTCTGAATGTGTCTGTCCTCTAAGTCTGCAAATAAGTGAATGTATGAGAAAAAAGTTAAAACAATCAGAGCACAAATGAATGTTTTAGCTATGGAGCTTGCAGAAAAATTGAAGTGTATATATATAACTATATATATATGAAAATTATATACATATATGTATTGTTTAGTAAACTTCAGCTATAGACAGTCTGCCTTGTCATGTCATACTTTCTTCTGCCTAGTCTTCTCTTCATCCCCCAAAACCGAAACAGTGAAGTATCTTACTCTATATGCTTTTGAACATGCATACAGAACACGGATCTAAATGATTACTCGATTAGATTCGTGGGGGTGCAGAGGCAGTTTCCCTGCTCTGTAGTTCTATATTGAAGGCTTTTCTTACTATTTTAAGGTACTTGGTGTCATAAAAGGTTCTTTTTGGGTTTTTGTTTTTCTTCCCTTGGTACAGAGGGAGACAAATTAGCAAACATTCATTGTACTCTAGAAACTATATGGTGAAGTAGTTTAACATTTGTCACGTACAGGACTGTTCTTTAAATCCATAGTCTGCTAATAGCAACAGACATTCCTTTGAACTCTAGTGGTAAATGGGGCTCTTACTTGGGGGTGGTGAGGAAACAAATTGTTGTTTTTGGATATGCTGCCTTAGCGGTAGAGAGGTCTTAAATAATATCTGCCAGATGTTTCTCCTCTTCTCTCTGAAAGAAATTGCTCTGCCTTGTATTGGGAAGTAAGGGCTGTAGTTAATGCAAGAGCTTCTTAATGAAAGCTTGGAAAATAGCCTTATGTTTCTATTTCTAGGTCCCTTCAAGGTACAGTACTTTAGACTGCTTAACCAATCTGTCTTCTGTTCAGTAAGGGAAACTTACTGTTGCTTTTATTAATCAGCAGTATAATACAATTATGGTCCATAACCTATGACTAAGATAGATACCTGGCCACTGCCTCTGCTGCTGGTGATAAAATAGTTGTTTCAAGCTGTAAAAGCAAACCTGTTCCACTCTTTGAAATAGCTGAAGGAGTAAGTATTACTAATGCTGTTCCCTGTTTCCCCTCCCCACTCCACCTTGTGTACTGTTTGTATCACATTTGTTCTGCATATTGGGATCAATTTAATTTTAGTATTGTTAGAGTTATGACATGTATGTACAAACATTTCCTTGTGTATAGTTAAATACATATACAGAGTGGGGGGAGTAGTGCTTCTAAAATAGTTCTACCAGTAATAAAATATGAATATGGTTGTACTAGCATCTGATGCCTTTCTGCTAGGGGAATGTGCCTGTTGAACCTCAGTGTGACAGCCCGAGGCAGTCAGGGGTTCAAACTTGATCTAATGTGTAGGTGACGGAACAGAGCTCAAGTTTGAACTTCATTTTCCAATTTGAGTTGTCAGTATTATGCATTCCTGTGAATTGTACATTGAAAAACAGGAGTGTATATAAAGGTTGTGCTTGAAGCATACGTGCGCTAGCTTCTGGAAGTAAGTGAAATAGGAGAACTTCTGTTATGGTCAGGGTTTTTTTTTCCTGTTAAATGAAAGCATGGCACTATAAACTCTTCAGAAAGCTGGACTTAGTTTTAGAAGAGTCTCTTGACATGGATACTTGAATAACTTGTTAGTGTTCTAAACCATTCTAATTATTCTCTTTGGATAGCTATTGTAATGCTAATTTGGACTGGAAATTTTCTGAAAAGGTGTTCAAACCAGGCTTTTAGGTTGCTGAAGCAAACACTTTCAAAGGTGGAGTGTTTGTCCTGGAGATTTCACTGAATCTGATCTATAACTAATGCATCATTTCCAATTTTACCATGTCAATAATTAGATGGACTTGTTTTTCTTAATTCAAATCTCAGGAACTTAAAAGTGAATTTTCAACATGATAAAACTGAATAATAATTTGTCCTTGATGTAGGTCTATCATTAAGATTGACATTTTTTTCAAAAGCTGGTACTTCAGTGATTATTTTAAAAAGAATCACTTTACTGAATTATGAGGTTTGCTGCTATAATATTCTTTGTAATGTTTTGGGAATGTGAAGTACCTGACTCAGACAACTTTTTAATTTTCTTTTAAGGAGTTTTTTTCTAAACTTAGCATTTTTTTTTTTAAAACTCAGTACCTGAATAGAAGCCTATGATTGCACTTTAGAAAGCTATAATTTAAAGGGAAAATGCATATTGAAGGAAAAGGTGCTAAAAAAATTTGAAATGGGAACAGGAAAATGTGAGCATTTCAGAGTTTATTAATTAATGTATTTAAATCTTAAAGTATGTTAAACCTATGCCCAAACTGGACTGGATTTTAAATGCCTTTTGGTGGGAAATGACTACAGTTTACCAATAGTTCTGTCGGTCAGTGGGACCATTTATGTTAATGAAGCTGAAAACACACATCTATATGCTTTTAAGTAGATTTGAATAAATCCCTTTAATTATCTTTAACATATTTTTTTTTCCCTTCTCCATCAGGCAAAACAGACATGTGTGAGCTTGAATTCTAGTTCCTCATATATTGTGAGTGGAGGCCTTGATAACACAGTTAATATCTGGGATCTGAAATCCAGAAGGGTTTACCGTAGCCTTAAGGTAAGTTTGGCTGAGAAAGAACTGTAGCTTTCATGACTTCCAGATTTTGCTGCCAATTGTAAAAAATACATTTTCTCTAAATCATGTATCTCTAGGAACAAGTTCACAGATAGGAGGTAGCACACATATGTGTCTTGTTCAAGTTTGTGTTCTTTATGTGCTGTAAATAGTAATTTTAATTTAACAAGCATACTTAACTTGATGTCGTCAGAATACAATTCTATAATAAAGTATGTTTAAATTTTCAGAATAGGCTTCTTATTTTGCAAATTTGTGTTGATATTCTCTGATGGGATTTTTTTCCAAGGGCAGCATTTCATATAATTGCTGTTTCTGATATGTCAAACAAGAAAACACTTTTGTATTTGTAGAACACTGTAGTAGAACTAACGTTATGCAAAACGGGGACATGGTTGTCGTCTTCTAACTAATCCAGTATGAATTCCCTAAAACCTTGTTATGATGCACAAAATTTAGGATGGTCTAGTATATTTCCATGATGCCTTCAGTAGATGATTTGCCCTCATTTAGGACCACTGTTAAAGAGGCTATAAAACCTTAGCTGTGATTTATTCTTTTTTCTTGGACTTTTAAAGTTACAGTTTGAAACAAAACTACTAAGTAGCTAATACAGTATTTTAAATATCTTTTTCTCCTTTTTGGGCTAGAAGTACTTGATTTTCTTCCCCTATGTATTCAGTAAACACAATATCATCATTGCAAATGACTATACTAAAAAGCTATTTGGTAAATACATGTGTTAATACTAAAAGTGACAGAAGGGGAAGTTGGCAGTAGTACATTAGATTAACAGAAAGTGTATTCAAATATCACTGGTTTCCGGAAGACTTTACTTTTTAAATAACATTAATGACACCTGTGGGAGATATCTCTATGGTTGTCTTATTTAAAATATTGTATATAATTACAGCATCATCTTTACTAATTTATTAAAACAGTCTTCTGAAAACAATCAAACAGTGGTTACAATATAATGGCTGATCTTCGGTATGTTCTGCTGCTGTTTTCTGGGTTATTCCATAATAACTTTTAAATAATGTTTTTAAATGTTACAGATGGTCAGGAAAAAAACATCAAGCTGAAGTTTTTCTGCAAAAGGATAGTTTAGGAAGGAATATGGTTATCCTGCATGTCTTTAACCCTCTCCCTCTAACCTTCCTCCCCCACAGGATCATAAAGATGAAGTCACATGTATTACATATAATTGGAATGATTGCTACATTGCTTCTGGATCTTTGAGTGGTGAAATTATCCTACACAGTGTTACCACCAATTTATCAAGTACTCCCTTTGGTTATGGCAGCCGTCAGGTAGGCTATCTGTCTTAAGTTCCTTTCAGGTATGAAGCTTTAATTCACAGTGTTTAGAAACTGAAAGTACGTATCAAGAGCTTTTAAGTTTTATTAATCTGTTTTCTTTTAATTTTTAAGACTGCACTTACGGAAAGGGAAAAACAGACCATTGTATGTATAGTAGTCTTAAAGAACAGGTAACACTGAAATACAAACTTCTCAAGTACCTTTACTTATATGCAGGTTACAGCAAATCTTACTTTGTAGGTTCTGGTTCCTTGAAAACAAACTCCACACATCTTAAAACTGAGCAAAAACCAGTCAGCTTTACAAACCAAAGTGGGATTTCAATGCACGACTCAATGTATGCTGTTGCAAAGAATAGAGACCATGTAGCTTGGGTTCTGACTTACCCAAAGTAATCAGACTTACAACTGAATAGAGCCATCTGTACAGTAGGGGTGAATATAAGCCTGCATTTGGAAATAATAAATTTATTTCATCTGGAGATTAAAATTGCACAGCTCCTCAAAGAGGAAAGCAATGACATTTTATATTACCTACTTAAGTGTTTAGGTAAGATTTTGGATAACTAGTTTGAAGGAAAACTGTGTGAAAGACAAACACAAAGCCTGTGTACTATTTAAGGGCCTTAGTGGGGTTTTCCACTGCAATTCCTTTTTGCAGACTTAAAAGATATTGCAGGATTAGTGGGTATCATTAGGGGAATTCCCTTGATATCAAGGTGTCTGCAGTAGTAAATAAGCTGTGTTGTCCCATTGGAAGTTCCAGTGTGCGTTCTTAGTGTGAATGTTGTCTTAGGCACAGCTAAGTGTTTGTGATCTGGGCATTCTTTGATTTTTTTACCGAGTCATTTTTACAGAGGTAGGAGCTGCCTAGGGGATGCAGAACTGTTGCTTTGGTCCTAAACCTGACCTTTAATGTTGCAGAGAATACTGAAGTTGTGATTTAGTAATTTTCTGTTGCTGCAACAGCTTTTTCAGTCCTAGAGTGCAGATAGAGTGTGAAGTTAAATTTTTCTCCTGTCTAGCGTGAAAAATATAACTCGATGAAGAATCTCTTACGACTTTATAGCATCCCGGGAATTGTGGTATACTTTCTGTTGGAAAAATCTCTGTTAAATTCAAACTGTCTCTGCTCATAGGTGCTGCAGTGTCTTTGATCCATCACCAGTCTCATACTTATATTGAAGCAAAATTGTACTTCATACTTGGTTTGATCTTAAAAATCCATCTATATAGTCCATTCATTTTTCTGATTTGATTGTTACGATCTTATGAAAAACATGGATGTGAGGCAGGAGCTACAGGGAAATCAATGGCAGGATTACACAGCTAAGGTGAATATCCAGAGTGGGGACTATGCTGCTAGTTAATTGGAAAATGAAGAAATTCTTGTATCGATGATTTGCATCAACCTGTTTGATATATTCAACTCTTTCCACCAAAAGTGATTAGGAATAAGTGATGCAGTGAATAGCTATTTTGGCAGATGAAATCAAGAGGCCTACTGCGAAGCTGAGTGACCTTTAAGATGAATAAAGATATTTGAAGTGTTAAATCAAAGTAATTGCAAGCACAGAGCTACTATTCACTTTCTAAAGGATCTATGAAGTTTTCTGAAGGGGGGCAGTTATTTGATTGCAGCCTTAATTTAAAATGGAATCGAGCTATAATTGTGTAATGGGATGGCTACTTGGATGTCCCAGTTTATCAGCTTATCTTATATCCTAAAAATTATCTTTGCTCTTATGTGCAAAAATAGCTTTGTTTTGGGTTTTAATTGGTACTTGTAGAGAATTGCAGGATTAGTTGTGCAGTGAAGCAAATATCTGAAGATTTGTGTAATTCTGTTAAATTTAAAAAGCCTTTACTTGATTTATAGTTTAGGGGCCCAGTTTTCTAAGAGTAAGCTTGAATAGATACACAGTGTATTGTCCTGCTTGATCCTGGCACTAGCTGTCTGGCTTAGTAGGGGTCACCACTCCCTAGTAACTTTTTTTACAATTGGGGAATGTGAGGTCAAACTAACCTTATAAAATTTAGCTTGTCTCTGTTTGATTCAGCATGATGGAATGTAGTTTCCTTGCCAGTTAATTTCTGATATTGTATAGACTCTACAAGTAGTAGAATAGCCCAAGGTTGCAGTGCTTTCTGTGACTTTAAGCAATTTTCTTTTCGTATGAGTTTTGGCCTATATTCTATTAATTGATTTTGATTTAGAAACACCTTTGTGCTTTATTAGAGCTGAGTTCTTGCACAGAGTTGTTTGCAGATCCCATAATTTGTCTTTGCTGTTGGTATTCATTTAGACTACCAGATTCTTATCTGCTTGCTGTTGTGAGGATGAATTAAGGTTTGTTTTGAAACATAATGTTTGTTCAAGTCTTCCCTGCCTGGTGCTATTCTCCTAGCAACAGGATTTAGTTTAGTTGTTTGAACAGCTGGCTGATTTGTAAAGAAGTGTGATGAGTTCTGGTCACTCTGTATAGTGAAATAGCTTTAAAAGCTGAAGACTATCGTGTTTACATCCGCCTTCTCACTTATAAGACTCACTAAGGTATAAAGGAGATTAAGAAACTTTAAATATAAATTTAAATAAAATATCTTTAAATAAGGTAGTCAATGATGCTAGACTACTTTTGGTTTAGTTTTGGGCTTTTCATTTGTTTTCCAGCGGTGAAAAACCCTAAGTGTAATTAGTCCTTCTTAGGAATGGACCAACGTTTTCCGAAGTGCACTGTTCCTTTTTTGGCTGTCTTACTGTGAAGCTTAAAGATAAAATGTACTTTTATTTTCTACAGAAAATCTACTCCCATCACAGCTAAGGCAAAAAGATGTATATGGCTTTTTGTGCTGCATTGACTGGTAAAATATTCCAAAGAGCACTTAATTTTCTCTTTGTGGGTTCAGCACCTGGTGCTAAACGTGTTTCTGGTAGTTCTCTGTGTGCAGAATTTCCAGAGATCACCAGGAGTTGTACTTAATAAGATGTAATGAAACTTGCTTCATATTTGCTTGGGTTTTTTTTCCAGTCTTGACAGGTTAGTTCCAAAACATGACTCTTTCCAAATAATTGCGTCATTCCTAATAATCTTGAAATGGTTTTAGTATTATGACTAAAATCATTAGAAAACAGATGACCTCTTCCCACTTCTATTCAGACATTTACTTAAGCATATTATTTGAGTTTCACCTAGTGAACAGCTACGCTGACTTAAAATAAAGCAAGTATCTTAAATATCCCCCTAGAACCAATTCAGATAAGATCCTTAAGCTTGCCTAGTCAGATTTTTCCCACATGTCCCACACCTTTGCCATTTGATTCTGTGGATGAAATTGTAATCTGAAAACATTCTCGGGCTTCTTTTCAGAAAAGTACCAATGTTTAACTTGTATCCCATGTCCTTAGCTATTTTTTTTTTCTAATTAGGTTTACTTCAACTAGTAAACCTTGCAGTTAAACCGTATGCGTTGTGTGCCCTTTTTAGGCTTGGGATCCCTATTGCTGGCAGTACAAAGGCCAAGGAACTGTATTGGGGCTATTTTCAGCCAGGCTGAGTTGGAGGCCCTAGTGTTCAAAATCCGAGTAACAGAAGTCTTGTTTCTAAACCATAACTTAAGGAAAGGGACAGGAGATGACAAATGAAGTTCAGCTTTTTCGGCGAAAACTTGACTAGGAGTGTACTAAAGTTCTGTGTGACTTTATTGTGCCAAGCAAAAATCAACATTTTTTTTTTTTAAAGACTATTTGGTGAAGACTGTGACTACGTGTTAGTTTCTTGTCACTAAGATAGACAAAAACGTTAGAAAGTATGAGAAACAACATAAAGAAACATGTATTGAAATGAAAAATAGATGATATAATCTGATCTAGAATAGTATGTGTGGCAGCTCAAAAAAAGTTTACAGAATTAGAATTGGCAGAAGTACAGAGGGGTTAGAAGTAGGGAAGAAGTCTGGTAAAGAGAAAAAAAAGGAACTGAAGGAAACAGACTCTTCTTAAATAACACTTAACATAAAAGGATACACAGTTAGACAATAATGTTAAATTCAGTGACATAAAAGATAACATTTTCTCTGTGAACACGCAGTTGATCATGATGATTTTTGATTTTAGCATCCTCTTTGGCCATAAATGTAATCAGAGGGAGAAAGTTGGAAAAGTAACTTGAGAATTACAACAAAAGGAATATTATAAAGGAGATAAGTTTTTTGGTTTTAACTAATCGGAAGA